TGCTTATCTTGTGCCTGTGAATGTTAGAAGTGTTTAACTTTTCATTTGTAGAGGGGCTCACAGCTAAGAGTTTGCCTTAGATCTTGGAAGCTTGGGACTTGGACCTTTCAGTGTTGCTGAAACTGGTAGGACTTTGGCAACTCTTAGAGATGGACTAAAATGTCTTTTGCGTAAAGGGTTGTGCATGAGTCTTTGGAGGGCTAGGGGTAGCATGTCATGGTTCTAATGTAATGCAGTGTTCAATTTGTAAAATGTTTAAGCATGTCTGTGTACCTGGAAATTGGCTTTAAAAAAGTGTATGTCTAGTTGCCAAGTTGAAAAGGGGTGGATTGTGCTAGTTGATAAATTGTGTCAACTTAGCTGAATCAGCTCCACAGCTCTCAGCATGGGGGCCTAGCTCTGCAGGTGGGCAGGACCCAGGAACTGAGAAAGGCAGGAAGCCGCCCTGCCTGGTTTCCTGCACCCCGCTCTGCTTCCTTCCGTGGAGAAGTCCCAGTCTTCAGAGGAGCTTGATCACTGTGGCCGCACCACTGTGAAGGAGCTCCAATCTTCACTGTGGAGCACTGGTCTTCGCAGTCAGCGCAGAAGGAAGAGAGAAGCTTGATGGATGCTGCTGCAGCTGCAGCTCCTCCTCTGCTCTTCATTGTTTTCTGTCTTATGAACTGCTGTCGTTTGCCTTGGAGCCAGCAGAATATGGACTGAACCCTCCAGTAACTGTGAACTAAATAAACCTTTCCTTCCTTCATTTTGAGTGTCGGGTATTTGTCCCAGCAATGAGTAAAAAGTAACTAAGACACCATGCTTCTGATTTCGTCAGTCTAGTGGGTATGAAGCAACATACCATTGTTTAAATTACCCTTTACCTGATAGTGCAGTTGACTGTCTTTTCTGATGCCTCTTGGCTGCCCAGTTCCTGGTTTGTGAATTACCTATTCATATTCTTTGCCTATTTTTCTCTTGGGCTGCTTTCTTTTCCTAATTATTTGAAGAAATCTTTTAAACTATAAAATATATTACCACACATACACATGCACTTACATCTCTACACATGTGTGTCGCAGATGCTGTTGCGGCTGCCTGAGGCCACCAAGCCCCCAGAGCTACAGGGGACAGTGTGCATGAATCCCCCATGTGTCCACTCCTTTGCTTGGGGGATTAGGATCCCCTGCTCACTCCCTCTGTGGTGTGGAGATGTAAGGCTCCAAGAGAATGCTCAGCTACTAAGACGCAGGGGTCCCCTGATAAAGAGTCTCTTACAGAACAACTTCATACCACTGCTCACAAATTCCAGAGCAGGACCAAGCCCCTGTACCTCCCTGGAGCTATTAGATTCTAGGATATTCTGACAACCTCCTTAGTTCACAGAATGTGCCCTTCCCAGCTGGGAATCAACCTCATGTACCACCTCCCAGTGTTATTCAGGGGAAATCTATGTTTCCTCTAACAGAAAGTTTAGGCTATATAGAATTAGGGATCTCTATCCCTAAGGGTGGTAGCAGAAATGCTTCAACCAGAGAACACAGTTAGGATCCACTGAGCCTGTAGCTTCTGCCCCTGGTCATCTTGGCTTCCTTGTGAAGGTAGACCAGAAGGTCAACAATCAGAGTGACTACACATGGGGATCGACTGACCTTGGTTAGCACAACTGATGTGGTTACTGTAACAAAATCACCAAGAGGCTCACCAACTGCTCAGCAATGGGGCCGTCATTGGTGCCACTTCCCCACTAATTTTCAGTTGCACCTAGACAACATGGCCCGCAACTACATAGTGCAGAGTGTCTACTCAATGCAGAACAGAGGGGATCTAAGCAAAGCCAGGAGTGGTGGACACCAGCAGGCCACATTGGTGTCGTG